AAAAAAAAAAAAAAAAAAAAAAAAAAAAAAAAGGGCTTAATTTGTTAATTATGGATTCTGGAGCTTCAAAGATCAGAGTTTTTATGTTAGAAAGGCTGATTTTCTTTGAGATAGTCTTGCTAGGTAGTCCAGGCTAGCCTCAAACTTGAGACTGTCCTGCCTCAGCCTTTTTAGTGCTGGGATTGCAGGCATGTGCCACCATGCTGCCCAGTAATAGCAATCAGGAATGGGAGTCAAGAAGATAATCTAATTTTAGGCTGAAACAGATTCAGACAAGGAAAGTAGCATAGAAGTGAAGCCTTAGTTTTGTATGACCTTTACATCAAGTGGCAGTGGTGTGATGTTAAAATGCAGCTGGCCTGCCCCAGTGCCCAAGGCTGTACCCATCTCCCCCAAAACCTTGCTGTTTCAATTACAGCTGGAAACCCAGGCAAGGCCTTACTTCAGTGGTTACTGAGGTGTCTCAGGAAGAATGAATGGATGGGTGGGTCCTGAGGAAAGAGACCAGATTGGCCAAGTGGAGTCTCCTTTTCAATACTGAATCATTTCCTAGTAAGCAATGGGAGTGGTCAGTTTTCTACTAAGATCTGAAAGCCAGTGGTCATTTTTATCTTAGAAAGCTGGAATCACATTGCATGCTTCCCCTGAGCTGAGTCACATCTGAAGTGCCTTACAATCTTTTTTTCCCTATAAGTAAAATAGAAATTTCAAGCACTTCTACTATGATAAATTTAGCTTTGCAAGTTAATGTGTTCCGCAATTTTCATGCCATTCCAAAGAAGACAGAAGACTGAATTTAGAACTGCCCGTTATCTCTTAAAAGCTTCACTCCCTTGTAGGTTCCTAGAGTGCCACTACATGAGACTAAGGCATTCCCCAAAGCAGCTCTCAATCAGGGAAACCACACATATTTGGAGAGGGACATAAGAAATAGGACAAAGCTAGACCAATGTATCCCACAATAAAAGGACAAGGTCTATAGCACGCAGGGACCTACATCTACCAAAGTTGAGGGGAGGGAGTACTTAAAGAAATGGTGACCTCATGATTCACAGGTTATTTGGATAAAAGCATCTCCTTAAACTTAGGAACATAAACCCCAGCAAGAAAATGTTAATTCTTTAAAAATTGGCAGTATTTTTATAGAGGCAGTAAGTCTTTGGGGATTAAAAAATTAAGTCAAAAGATAATTATGGTTCATCCAATATGACAATTGCCTCAGTTGTGAACTGAGAAAATTCTCCAGGTCCTGAGGGCAGTGCTTGTGAGGTATACAAAATAACTCGATCCACCCACAAGGATGCCATGTTCACTACCTCAAGTGAATATTCACAAGCCAGATAATCAGAAAACAGTGCAATGCAAGTAGGAATGAGAACCAGTGGTTTGAGAACTGCTTCATGCTGATGCACGTAGGTGTGTGCATACTGGGTCGCAACAGAAAAGAACCTGCTCCTGTGGATTGCAGTCCGTTTGGGGAGGCATACGTTTTCTGATGCCGATTACTGGAAAACAACATCCTCAATTACAAATACCCTGGCATTTTGGCTCAATATCACTCTCTGAGTTTGACTTGCAGGAATCAATTCACCAAAGCCGAGAAGACCTGGACCTCTGCTGACCCAGTTCACAGCAGGAGAACACTGGGATCCCTAGGGACTTCTGCTGCTTCTCAAGGAAGCTTTCTGCATACACATGGCACTTTTTAGAAAGGGATAACAGATTTCATCATGTTCCTTTATTCAGTTTGCTCCAAGGGAAGAATCAATAGTAGGGATCACAAACATTATTTTGAATGGCTCACAAGCCTTATCAGTAAAACCTGAAAAACAGGGTATGTTACACAAGTTGCAAAGAAAGCACTCCTGGAGTTCACTGACATGATAGCAAGTGGGAAGATGAACGCAACAGGTGTTAACAAATAGCACAGGACTTGGAGCCTGCTCACTTCTAGACAGTGCTGGGACCCTTGCTGCAAACCCTTCATATATCACTGCTGACTCCTCTGACATAAAATGACATTACCCTGCTCTTCCTAGACCTTACTCTTGCTGCACCTGCGTGGTTCCTATTCCTACAGCACTGGCATATGCTGTCAGGATGTCCACTATCTGTTTAGTTTCTAGGGTCATTCGGGCTTCCTTCAGCCAGTCCTGTGCCACACGTCTGGACTCCCCTTTCAGCTGATTGACAAACTTCGCTGCCAGCTCGAGGTCACCATGCTCAATGCAATAGGAGGCATACGAGAGTAACTTGAATGTGTTGATATCCTCAGGGTAGAGTTCTGCTGGTGGCTTCAGTTGCTGAGGGGAGAACAGCAACAGCGACTGCAAGTAGGAGAGGAAGTACTGGTACAAACTGTTTCTGGTTTCATCAATCATGGCTACCCTTCGGGCTAGTTTCTGGACAGCATAGAAACGGGCCCTCAGGGTCTCTTCACTATACACCCCCCGAGTCAGGGACTCTGGAGGGATAGCTGCGGTTAATGCTTGGGCAAACTCACTATCAGAGCAGCTGGCTCTGATGGCCTCAACCGCACCCCCCAGAGGGACAGTGGGTGAATCTGCTGATGAGGTCTTCATGCTGTATTTTAGTGCTTCCACTGAAAGCCAGATTTGGTGGGCTTTTCTAGCTTCTTCCTCAGCAACTGCATGACCTATCAAGAAAATAAAGGTTAGGAAAAAAAAAATTCTGTCCACCTGACCCCAAATACCCACAAAAGTGAAGTACATTCAACATGTGGAATCCTCATGAGGAAGATGTAGCTAGAGAGAGCCTCCTACAACCTGCCCCACCACTCACTTCTGTTGTGTTCTTTCTACTGGCCTTTCACACCGAGGCAGTAATGCCTGTCACATTTTGATGAGGCTTTGTTTGCAGTAAAATAATGGCGAGAGCTGGGAGGGTGCATGTGCACAAGCACAACTAAGTCTCTTTCCTTCCTGTGACACCCAGGACAATGCATGGCCAAAAACAGCACATAGAAGTCACTCCCATTTGCAGGGCCTCTAATTCAGATGTTGAGAAGGAAACACGTTAAACAAATTTAACTAAAATTTTTGTGAAGGCTACTATAAATTTGCAAAAAAAAAAAAGGAACACTTCAAAGGAAGTACTGTACTAGACTGGGTCTTGAACATTTCCAAGTACCTATATAGTTATTTTTACTGTTCTAACAAAAGATTCCTTAACATCCCAAAGAAACCTATTTTATCAAGATTGCCATTATCAGAATGTGTCCCTTTCCACATGGCACAGAGGCCTCATCAGCATAACTACCATCCACTTGGAGGGTGGACTCAGCACGCTGCCACCTCCAGAAAACCCTCCAGTGCCCAGGGAGGGAACACAGGGCCACAGCAGACCAAAGAAAAGCCCTGAAAAAGTGGAATGCCTTGAAAAAGACGATCTCATGTCTGTCACACAAGTTACTGACCAGTGATTCTCACCTCTCACAATGCTACATTCCAAACCTATCAAACCTGGGACAAACTTTCCAAGAAATGAATGAAAGTGGAACAGGTACTTGAGTATCTTTATGACCTGCTGTTGGTACAAGTGCTCCATTATCCTAAGACACTGCATTGAGTAAGATTATAAGGTAACAAAGACTTTGCTCACTCTGAACAGCCTGCTCGATTCCTCTCAGTCGGGCATAGGCAGTGTTTATATCCAGAGTAAAACTGTCAACTTGTTCTTGACTCAGACGGCGAAACTCTAATTCTTGTTCAGAGAGCTTCTCAGACAGGTTCTGAAATAAAACACAGTGTATGAAAAAACACTGCTTTCATTAAGTGTCAATTATCTGGATACTAGTTTTTCAGCAATTGCCATCTCCCGATCAAAGAACATTTAAAATCTCAAGAGCAGGGCATGGTAGTGCACTTGTGTAATCCCAACACTTGGGAGACTGAGGCAGGATGATTGCCTTTGAGTTTGAGGCCAGCCTGGGCTACACAGTGAGTTCTAGGCCAGACTGAACAACATAGTGAGACCTTTGCTTAAAATAAACAAATCTCAAAAGAGCCATCATGAAACTCTGTAAGACTGTATCAGAAAAAAGTGTAAGATCTTGAGTTTTTCTATTTGATGTAATTCTCTACAAATTTTCTGATGGAACTAATACTGTATTAGAGGAATCCAACTAGGAGAAGTGAAAAGGTTATTAAAACCAGAAACAAACTTGCAATTTTACAAAATAAATGTATTGAAACATGATAAATTATATCCCTTATCATCCGTGGCTTATATATCCATTTTCTACAGAAAAATACCCATCAAATATAATTTAAAATAAAATATCTTGCCAGGTGTGGTGGTGCACGCCTGTAATCCCACCACTTGGGAGGCTGAGGCAGGAGGATCACTGTGAGTTTGAGACCAGACTGAGCTATAAAGTGAGTTCCAGGTCAGTCTGAACTACATAGTGAGACCCTGTTTCAAAAAACAAAACAAAACAAAAAAACGAACAAAAAATAAAACATCTTTTAATATTGGCAACATTGCAATTTTCTTTATTTTGGTACCGGAAATCGAACTCAGGACCTTATGCTTGCCAAGCAGGTGGCGGAACCACTGAGCTAAATCCCCGGCCAACATTGCAATTTTCTAGACTTCTTTATTTAGAAATTCCCCCACCCCCAACCCCACACACCTTTTTTAGAGACAGGGTGTTGCTAAATTGCCAAGGCTAGCCTCCAACTCAAGATTCTCCTGCTTTAGCCTCCAAAGTGGTGGGACTGTAGCACCATGCCTGGCCCTCATTCCCTTCTTTCAAAACAAAATAAAAAGCTAATATTATTGTAAATGACTTGCTGGATAGAAACTACGGTGAAAGACATCATGATGAACTGCTATGATTTCACAACTTAACTTCTCTGAGAAGTTTCCAGTTATACAACTTGAGTACTTATCACACGATGTAAAGGATTTTGTGGAAAGGAAGTAGGCCATACCTGTATAAATAGTATGGTATGCATTCTCGAAACCCGCTTTACCCTGCTTAAAGCCATGAAGACTCAAAACAACTAGGAGATATATACCTGAACATGAACACAGGCACACCATTATGTAAAAAAGGAGCAGCAGTTCTGCAGAACACAAAAGCACCACTCCACCAAGGCTAGGTTACATTGGAATTCTCTCCCCATTCTTCAACATCCTTACGGGTACATTAAAAGGGCTGGAATGTAGTACAAATAGCCAATAAATACATTAAAAATGCTCAATATCTCTGGCCATCAGATAAATGCAAATTAAAACAAAAGAGATGCCATCTTACTCTAGAAAGAATGACTATCATCAAAATCAAACAACAGAAGCTGGTGTACGAGTTTCCACCTCTAATCCTAGCACTCAGGAGACTAAGGCAAAATTACCACAAATCTGATACTACCCTGGGCTATTTAGTGAGTGCAAGTCCAACTTCAACCACATAAACAAGACTCATTCAAACAAAACAAAATCAAACAATACCAAAATCAAATGCTTTTGAGGCTGCAAGGAAAAAGTCACCCTTTACATTGTTGATGGGAATGTAAACTAGTACAACCACTATGAAATCAGTACAGAGATTCCTCAAAGAATAAAACTACAAATTCCATTCAACCCAGCTATTCCCTTTCTAGGTATCTTTTCAAAAGAGTTAAGGACATTATGCTATAGTAATATATCATAGCCATGTTTTTTATCACCAAAACTCAGCTAAATCATGGAAGGTGCCTATATATCATCAACAAATGAATGGAGGCGGGTGTGCTGGCACTCGCCTGTAATCCCAGCACTCTCGGGAGGCTGAGGCAAGAGGATTGCTGTGAGTTCAAGACCAGCCTGGGCTACATAGTGAGTTCCAGGTCAGTCTCAACAACATAGTGAGACCCTGTCCAAAAACCAACAAAAAAACCACATGAATGGATAAAGAAAATATGGCATTTATACTCAATGGAGTATTTAGCCATAAGGATGGGCAACTGAATTATCTGTAAGAAAAGGGATGCACCTTGAAACCATAATGTTTAGTGAAATAAATGAGACACACAAGCTTAAATATTGCTTAATTTCTCTTGTATGAGAAACCTAAAAGTATAAATTATTTTAAAACAAAATAAAAGACAATAGGAAACAGGGAGAAAAATCTTTTGCAAATAAGAAGGGAATCTAAAGATGAAGGGAAGTTGATATAAAGGGAGAAAAAGGGGACTAAAAAGGATCAAGATATGTTAAGAAATGCACCTACTCCCTAAGATGAAAGTAAACATATGTACTCCAAACGTATTAAAAGAAAAATGCTGGGTGTGGTGGTACGTGCCTGTAATCCCTGGCAGAGGCAGGAGGATCTCTGACAATTCAAGGCCAGCCTGAGCTACACTGCGTGACCCTGTCTCAAAAAAAAAAGTTTAGGATGTAGTTCTATGGCAGAGTACTTGTCTAGCATGTGTGAGACCCGCTGGGTTTGATTCTCAGCAGGCCACAAACAAAATATAGGAAAGGAGGGCCTAGGATTTAGCTCAGTGGTGCAGCACCTGCCTTGCAAGTGCAACATCCTGAGTTTGATCGCCCGTACTGAAAAGAAAAAAAATTAATTAAAAAAAAAATATATATATATATGAAAGGAGAGCCTGTTAAAAACAGAAGCAGGGAGTTCAGGCTTTACAACCAGTTCTTACCTGCTCAAATTCATACTTCAGTTCTTGTTCTTGTACCCTAAGGACATCTCGTAAGTGATCAGTGTGGGCAGCTGCCTGTCGGCGAAGCTGGGTTCTCATCTCATTCTCCATGGCATCTCTGACTTCCTCTACCTGTGAAACAAAACACCGTACTGATGAGTTCTCAATCCTCATACACTTTTAGAAAAAGGGAAAGTCTAGTAAGAACATGCTGACAGCAACATCCATGTCCTACGGTATGTCATGCATGTATACAGTCTATTATGAATCAGAATCTATTATGAGAAAATTGAGAAATATCATTTATAATGAATATTCCAAATGGAATATTAAGCAGGCTGCTCATTAGGAACCTGAAGTCAAAGCAGAGATCAGAGCTAGAGAATTTAATAGGTACAGATGGTATTTAAACTTCAAAGCCACAGGATCAGAAAAGAGCATGGGAGATAGTTTAGATGGAGAAAATGTTTCTGAACCAGTGCCAGGCATGCCAGTATTTAACAGGTTAGGCAGAGGAAGGAAAGGGTGGCCACTACAGTAGGAGGTGAGATGACTAGTCACCTTCCTAAATCAGCCTGTGGACACCATGTTCAATACATGATGTGCCCCAAAAGATGGGTAACACAGTTACACTTAAAAACACTGGCAGAAAGAAAATATATTCATAATTCAACAGAGATTATTTCAGCATACTTAAAAGGACAGAGGTTATAATGAGGTGAGCTAGATAATCCTGGACAATAGCAGCTTATGACTTTTTTTCCAGTACCGGGGATCGAACTTGGTTCCTTGTGCTTGCGAGGCAGGTGCTGGAACCACCGAGCTAAACCTCCCGCCCAGCTTAGGACTTTTCACACCTTTGCACCTGCATCTTCCCCTGAAAGTTCTGACTAGGAGAAGTCGTCCAAGGCACCACTCCACAGATGGGCTGGCACAATTTACAGCTAGTATTTTGAAGTCAGTGGCCACCATCATTATCTCCAGAAGATGACAATCAAGTTAGTCATTTTAAATGTTAGGTAGTGATTCTCATTTCTTTACCTTTCTGTCCTGCTCAGCCTGTACTTCACTTCTATGATGTTCTAATGCTTTCGCCACCGCAGAGTCAAATGCCTGCTTTTCTTCTAACTTTTGTTTTTCCAAAGCCAATGTGATGTGCTGCTTCTCTGTGGCTTTCTGTTCTGCTAGCTCTCTGTTTAGCTGGTCAATACGTCGATGTGCGTGAGCAATGAGGGAGTTCAGGTCGTCAGTAGACAGCTTGTCAGCTAAACAAATAACCACATCAAAAAGTTAATGACTTCCCCAAAATTATACACCACTACAACAAGGGAATCTGCTCCACTGGATTGTGATTTTATAGCATTAAAAGCAAAGTGTTTAAGAAAAGCGAAAAGCACCTAACACAAAGAGAGATTTTAATTCTCTAGTTCAAATTAATAGCTAGTATCTAAGAACTAAGGCTTTTCAGTCCCAAGCAAAGTAATGTAGGTGGGCTTGAGGCACAACAGTTGTTGTCCAGGAACCCAAATTAGTACTTTTAATCTAAACATATTCTAAATAGCCTTTCTAACTTACTGTAATTTTGCCTCTAAAGACAAAGCTTACATATATAATCACTTCTGTGACTGTGAGTAGTTACAATAGGTATCCACTTAAATTATTTCCTGCTGAAACTTGAATTAAAAATTTCTCAAACTTTTGCCTAACAAGAATTTGTTCCTTTTCTTAAAGACATACTATCTAGGTTAATAATCAGCAACCAGAGCCACTCATCAGAATAACCTGTGCAACTTTTTTAAATATTCATGCCCAAAGATTTTCATTTAGGCTTAAACCCATGTTAATGTCAATTTGTTGTTGTTTGAGACGGGGCTTTCCTACATTATTGCTTAGACTGGCCTCACAAACCTTCTATCTCAGCTTCCTGAGCTGGTATTACAGATATGTGCTACCACACCCAACTAATTTTTTTTTTATTTCACACTCCATAAAGTGTTTCAATACATAACACAAATTAAGAATTATGGTTTCAACAGCAAAATACAGAATGTGTATAATTCTAATGATAAGTGGTTCTATTACTCAATAAATGAGGTGAAAAGAAAAAAGAAAACTTAAAGAGACTTCTTGAATAAATTCAATGTATGGAGTCTCCAGATAATGATTTACATAAAACCTATGAAACAATCGAGCTATCTGAATACTGAATAGATGCTGATTAAAGAAGTATTATTAAAAAGTAGCTGAGTATGTGAGACATCTATAATCCTATGTACTCTTTTGGGAAACTGAAGCAGGAGGATAGAAACTTGGAGGCTAGCCTCAGCAAGACCCTACCACAAAACACAGCATTGCTAAACTGTCTCTAGGATGACATACATGTTTCAAGTGGTACTGAAAGCCACATAAACATATCTGTTATTAATATGAAAAAATACAGTACTGCTGGGTTTGATCCCACAATAATAACAAAAACAAACAAAAAAACTCGAAAATATTTACCAGCGAAAGGGTGTATCTGAGGTTTTAAACATACAGTAGGAGAGGAGGTACACACAAAACTGACAATAAGTTGATTGATAATTACTGAAGCTGAAGTTGGGTGATGGGTCCATGGAGAGTTCATTATAGTTTTTTTCCTAGTTTTCACATTTGAAATTCTCCAGAACAACAAGTTAAAGAAAGATCACACCAAAAAACAAAAAACAAACCCAAAGATGGATAGGGATTTAGCTCAGTGATGCTACCACCTGCCTTGCTAATGCAAGGGCCTGAGTTCAATCTCCAGTACCACCACCCCCCAAAAAAGAAGAAGGATCACAAAGTTGGGCATGGTGGTGCACTTATAATTCCAGTACTCCGGAAAGTTAGGCAGGAGTTCAAGGCTAACCTGGTCTACACAGTGAGTATAAGGCCAGCCTGAACTGCATAGTGAGACTCTTATCTCAAAAAATAAATAAATAAATAAAAATAAAAATAAAAATAAATAAATTAAAAATTAAAAAAAAAATTGGGCCTGGGATTTAGCTCAGGGGTTCCACCACCTGCCTTGCAAGCACAAGGGCCAGAGTTCAATCCCCAGAACCAAAAAATAAAATAAAATAAAATAAAAATCACATCATACACACATGTAAGCTTCCAATTCCTTTAAACATATTATTTCCTGACAACATAAGGATACCACAAATATCCAATTTAGATTTAATACATCTCATAATCCTACTTGATATTTTAGATGATTTAGCATAAGAACCAGAAACACAACAAAGACTTTAGTTTTTTTTGGTTTTTTTGCCTTATGCATGCTAATCAACCACTGAACTATATTCTCAGCCCTTCTTATTTCATTCTCCCCCCCGCCAGTATCATAATTAAACTCAGGACCTTGTGCTTGTCAGGCAGACATGCTGATGAGCTACATCCCTGGCCCCTCCTTATTTCATTCTGAGTCTCACTAAGATGCCCAGGCTCATCTTCAACTTGGGATTCTCTTGCCTCAGTCTCTGAAGCAGCTGAGGTAACAGGCATGCAATACCACACCTTGTCTAAATTCGGTATTTTGAAACAAAAACAAATCCTTTAAACATAAAATAAGTACTCACCTAGGTCAGAAACACCTACAAAGAAAGAGAAGAACAGTTTTAAAAGGAATATACAGGCCACGGTTTTAGCTCAGTGGTGCCGCCACCTGCCTCACAAGCACCAGGTTCTGAGTTTGATCCCCGGTACAAAAATAAAACAAAATAAAAAAAGGAATATACATACTTCAGTCATTTAACATTAAATAGAAACATCCAAAAGGAAACAAGGAACCACAGACCAACCAGGAAGAGCTATTTTAATATTGAAAAGTAAAATAATAGTTTATTTCCTAAAACTTAAAGGGGTTATAAGACAATATATCAAGATAAATTACAACATTTTATTTTGAATTCCACCCCCGCCAGGTAGCAGAGATCTCTACGTCGGTCTCAACACAGCACAGAAATATTGCTTTGTGTATCATGGTCTATAATAAAGAAGATGCGTCTTAGGAATATTAACCATTCACAACTTGCTCTTCATTCTCCAACCCTGACAACACCCCGATGCACCTTCCCAATGGCTGCCCCTTCCTTCTCCCACACAGGTATTCATTCTCTGAATGGGGGTAGCCCACATTATTTCTCCTGGTTAACATGGCAGCTTCTCACCAGCTCCCTGGAACTCGGGCACTCCTCCTTATACCCTCAATCTCATAAGGATGAATTTTCCTCATTATTACAATCACATTGCTCTTCTCTCAAAAGCCCAGAGGAGTTCCATGCTCCTGACACAAATCAATCAAGCAGAGAATAGCATGGCAATCGGGTGAGAAAGAAATCCTGGCTCTAACCTCAATCTTGGGGTATTAAGTAATTTAAATAATAAAGTTGTTTAACCTCTCTACGTCTCAGTTTCTAATCTATAAAATGGGGATAATAACAAAACTTACCTATAGGACTGTTGCAAACTTTAGGTTAATAAATGGGAAGTGCTTAGAATACAGTCCCAGGCACACAATAACACTCAATAACATTAGCTATTATTACATGTGTAGCACTGTTCCCAGTTAGGGGAAACACAGAAAAAGTAATAAACATAATGAATAATGGTATACTTATAACTTAGGGAAATGAGAATAGTGACCAAGCTGGGTGTGGTGATGCACACCTGTAATCTGAGCATCTGAAAGGCTAAGGTAGGAGGATCACACTGAGTTCAAGTCCAGTCTGGGTTACTACATAATGAGTTCAAGCCAGCTTGAACTACATAGCAAGAACTTGTCTCAAAAAACCAAAACAAACAAAAAAGAACAGTAAAACTAAATAATTCATAACACTAACTAGTTCTAATAGTTTGATATGGGGCCTAAATGTGTCATCATTTCAGAGGCAAGGATGCAACTGAGGGCCAAGGTAATCATGAAATAATTCACTATCCAGAGGTACACAATGAGTCAACAACTTGCATAACTGTGGACAGGAATAAAAGGGCAACTTCAGCAAACACAATTTGCGCCTTACTGATTTGTATCATGTGACTATATCCTCTACTTTAAAAATTAATAAAACATTAAATGGTTGTTGCTCAAAAAACAATTCAGAGACTGCATTGCAGGGGACTTTTAATTTCTACATGACACACAGTTCTTAACCACAAGGGTTCTCAATCTTGGTAGTACTAACATTCTGGGCTAGATAATTCTCTGCCAGCATATTGGGCCTCTCGGCCAGCCAGAAGTTAATAATATCCCCCAGCTATGTCTCCAAGTTGGGCCATTAAGAATGTGAAGTCTTGTTTTACAGCAGATACTTTTCTCCTTGAAAGTACCCCATGTAACTGCTTCACCAGCAATGTTTACGGCAGTCTAAGTTTTTGCAAGTAGAGAGTCAACAGTTGGTTTTCTTCCCTGGGAAGAATCAAGGTCAATTTTCCACCTAAGTGCTACTGACAGAGCAATCAAAAAGTATGCGCCAGCCAGGAGTAGTGGTGCACGCCTGTAATTTCAGCACTCGGGAGGCTGAGGCAGGAGGATCGCTGTGAATTCGAGACCAGCCTGGGCTACATAGTGAGTTCCAGATCAGTCTCAACTACACAGTGTGACCTTGTCTCAAAAAAACAAAAAACTGGGGCTGGGGTTTTAGCTCAGTGGTTCCACCATCTGCCTTGCAAGAACAAGGACCTGAGTTTGATCTTGGGTACCAAAAAAAAACCAAAAAAAACAAAAAAAAAAACCCCACTTTGCCCCAAGTAATTCACTACAAACACTTTTTGAGTACCAAAGGTTTTGAATAATTATATATACGAATGAAATAGTTTAACAGAATCAAAGTTATGTCACTGTCACTTGGAGAAACTAGACTGGAATAACAGATTATGGAATTAATCATGAAGTATGGAATAAAACACTGGTGGTTCACACTATAAGAGTATTGTAACAAGTGTAAAATCTGTACAACTATGAAGAATGGATCTGAAACAGGTTTTAGATTAGTTGATCAGTTGCTAAAAAATTGTAAAAAAGAAATGCTAATATTTCAATTATACTTACTCATCCCTTTCCACCCAGGAAGGACCTCTGGAGTGATACTGTCCAGTTCTCGTTTAAAGTCATCTCGGGCTTGGACCACCAGCTCATGATACTGAGATACAACTTTAGCCTCAGACTGAGCTGCTTGGACCTGACCAAATATAGAGAATAGATGGTTAAACTGAACAAAAAATACCATAAAACTCAAAAACAGAAGTAATATTCCTTTATTTATGTCAATAATACATATAAGGCCAGGGATTTAGCTCAGTGGTGCCACCACCTGCCTTGTAAGCACAAGATCCTGAGTTCAATCCCCAGTATAAAAAAAAAACCAAAAACCCAAATCTGAAGATCAGGGGCCAAGGGCATAGCTCAGTGGTAAGAGTTCTCACCTAGCATGAGCAAAGGCTCTGGGTTCAACCTCAGTACCAGAAATAAAATAAAGGCTAACAAGGCCTAACCTAGCCAAGCACCAATCTAATTTAAAAATAAAATAAAAGCCAAGTGTGGTAGCACACACCTGTAATCCCAGCACTCTGGAAAGCTGAGGCAAGAGGATCCCAAGTTTTGGTCCAGCCACGGCAATCTAACGGAGACCTTATCTCAAAATAAAAAATAAAAAGGGATCGGCCTTCAGTTTAATCCTCAGTACAAAAAAATTAAAATTAAAATAAATTAAATTTTTGAAAAATCTGAAGCTCAAAAAAAACCACAAACTTTGTGTCCTAATTACTTCTCTTTTTTTTTGGTTTTTTTGAGACAGGGTCTCACTATGTAGTTGAGATTGACCTGGACCTCACTATGTAGTCCAGGCTGGTCTCACACTCACAGCGATTCTCCTGCCTCAGCCTCCCGAGTGCTGGGATTACAGGCGTGCGCCACCACGCCCAGCCCTAATTACTTCTTAAATGACAGGAACAGGTCCTCTCCAGTGTTGCTGTGTCTCCTCTTCCCTTTCTCTGAGTCCCAAGAAATCACCCACATAGATCATCTCAGTGCACACAGAGATCTGCTAAAAGACAAAACTTTTTTTTCCTGGGTTTTTTTTGGGGGGTACAGGGTCTCACCATGTAGTCCAGGCTGGCCTTGAACTATGTACCCCAGGGTGGCCTCGAACTCTTGGCGATCCTCCTGCCTCATCTTCCCAAGTGGTGGGATTACAGGCATGTAACATCATGCCTGACACCTGAATTCTTAAAATCTTTTCATGGAAGAATATTTAAAAATATACCTAATTAAGCCAGGAATAGTGGCACAGGCCAGTAATCCCAGCTACTACTGAGGCTAAGGCAGAAGGACTGCAGGTTTGAGGCCGTCTGGGCATCTCTGAGATCCTGGGTTCAGTCCATAGTATTGTATATGCATGCACCCACATGCACGCAAGCGCATACATACACACACACACACACACACACACACACACACACACACACACACGCACACACTTACATACACTCAATATCTATGTATGTGTTTATATACAGGGGTTTACAGATAGTAATACTGTAAAGATTAAAGAATGCACCTTTTTTACCACATTATCCAGATCAACTATCATGCTGTGAAGTTTCCCCTCTGCAGCAGTTATATGAGGTTTGGCCCCAGCAACCTCTTTTTTCTTTGCATTTTCAATTACACTCTTCGTCTTCTCTAACTCTTCTCTGGAAATCAGTAATGAAATAAATATTTAGTATAGTTCCTTTCTAACATTATTGAAGAGTTATGAGATTAGTACAACAAATAATTATTAAAAGTCTTTGAAAGAAATATAGCTTGAAAAAAATTAAACAATGTTGATTTGGTCAGTAAGCAGAGAAACTTTTCTCAACAACAGTTAAGAACTTCAGTCAGAAGCTAGATTTACTAGAGTGAACCAGAGAGGCAGCATGGTGCATGAAAATGGCTATGCTTCAGAACCAGAGAGACCCGGATCCAACTCCTAGGTCAGCCTCTCATTTGCTGCATGCTCCTATGTGGGGACAGAGGTGATTCATGAAAAGTACCTGGCACCATGCCTGCCACCTGCTGAGGGCTCCACGAATGGCAGTTCTTGCAAGGATTAGGCTCACTCCCCTGCCAGTGAAAGAAAACTTAAGGCAACAGCCAGGAAGAAGGTCAAGGACCTCACTGAGCAAATAAATAAGTGGCCTATGATTTAGACTGACTCTTGTGGTCCAGGGATTTAGCTCAGTGGTTCCACCACCTGACTCACAAGGACAAGGACCCAAGTTTGATCCCCTGTACCAAAAAAAAAAATAGAATGACTCTTGTACCTAGCACAAATGAATTCGGAGCTGTGACACATGGTCCAGTGATGTGAGTAAACCTAATGTAGTACTCACTACTTTGCTAATTAAGGCAAACAGATTGTAACATTTTCTAAATTCTGTAAGACTGCCATTTAAAATCTTGATATTATAGCAGAACCACAGTAAATGTATACAGACATGTCACCAAAGCAATCTGACTTTTATACAAGATCCTTTATATCAATTTTGGACAAATCTATTTTAGCTTAATTGTTTTATTTCCTCTCTTTTTAAACTTGTGTTCCTGATACCAGTTCAGAGCACAGGTGGAAGAGAGAGGGAGGGGTCTCTCACCTTCTCTTCATTCTATACAAACAGTGCTATACAAAGAAAGCCCCACCCAAAGAAAGCACCAGGAGCCCTAATTACTTGTTAAAGTCCATGAGTAATTACTTGGCTTTGAGAAGGGCATCGGCAGCTTCATCTACAGCCTTTCTGCGTTCCTTCAAGGCACCCTCCACTGTGCGCCACTGAGCGGACTTCTTCTCACCTGCAATCTATACACTTACATACACTCAATATCTATGTATGTGTTTATATACAGGGGTTTACAGATAGTAATACTGTAAAGATTAAAGAATGCACCTTTTTTACCACATTATCCAGATCAACTATCATGCTGTGAAGTTTCCCCTCTGCAGCAGTTATATGAGGTTTGGCCCCAGCAACCTCTTTTTTCTTTGCATTTTCAATTACACTCTTCGTCTTCTCTAACTCTTCTCTGGAAATCAGTAATGAAATAAATATTTAGTATAGTTCCTTTCTAACATTATTGAAGAGTTATGAGATTAGTACAACAAATAATTATTAAAAGTCTTTGAAAGAAATATAGCTTGAAAAAAATTAAACAATGTTGATTTGGTCAGTAAGCAGAGAAACTTTTCTCAACAACAGTTAAGAACTTCAGTCAGAAGCTAGATTTACTAGAGTGAACCAGAGAGGCAGCATGGTGCATGAAAATGGCTATGCTTCAGAACCAGAGAGACCCGGATCCAACTCCTAGGTCAGCCTCTCATTTGCTGCATGCTCCTATGTGGGGACAGAGGTGATTCATGAAAAGTACCTGGCACCATGCCTGCCACCTGCTGAGGGCTCCACGAATGGCAGTTCTTGCAAGGATTAGGCTCACTCCCCTGCCAGTGAAAGAAAACTTAAGGCAACAGCCAGGAAGAAGGTCAAGGACCTCACTGAGCAAATAAATAAGTGGCCTATGATTTAGACTGACTCTTGTGGTCCAGGGATTTAGCTCAGTGGTTCCACCACCTGACTCACAAGGACAAGGACCCAAGTTTGATCCCCTGTACCAAAAAAAAAAATAGAATGACTCTTGTACCTAGCACAAATGAATTCGGAGCTGTGACACATGGTCCAGTGATGTGAGTAAACCTAATGTAGTACTCACTACTTTGCTAATTAAGGCAAACAGATTGTAACATTTTCTAAATTCTGTAAGACTGCCATTTAAAATCTTGATATTATAGCAGAACCACAGTAAATGTATACAGACATGTCACCAAAGCAATCTGACTTTTATACAAGATCCTTTATATCAATTTTGGACAAATCTATTTTAGCTTAATTGTTTTATTTCCTCTCTTTTTAAACTTGTGTTCCTGATACCAGTTCAGAGCACAGGTGGAAGAGAGAGGGAGGGGTCTCTCACCTTCTCTTCATTCTATACAAACAGTGCTATACAAAGAAAGCCCCACCCAAAGAAAGCACCAGGAGCCCTAATTACTTGTTAAAGTCCATGAGTAATTACTTGGCTTTGAGAAGGGCATCGGCAGCTTCATCTACAGCCTTTCTGCGTTCCTTCAAGGCACCCTCCACTGTGCGCCACTGAGCGGACTTCTTCTCACCTGCAATCTAAACAAAAAAATGTAATTATGTAAACATGACTAATTACTATTATTGTCATAGACAGGTCAACAAGATTAATGTGGAAATGTGTCACCTTAAATTCAAAGGTAAAAAATTATACACAGTATTTCGCCAGAGTAGGAATTCATAACTAAGTCTCATGATTAGGCACAAAGAAGTCCATAACCATCATCACACATCCAATTGTCCTTCCACAAAAATATACAAACAATCCCTGGTACCCCCGCAAAAGTAAAAACAATCCAAAGCTTATATATTACATTGTATACAAGCTTTCCACTTTGCTGACTGAAATCTGCTGTGTACATTTTTTTTTCCTTGAATTTCAAATACAACAGAATTTTCAGTTAGGTTTTCAAAACTTGTAGTTTCCAGCCAGCTACAATGGTTGGTGCATACTTTTAATCCTAGCTACTTAGGAAGCAGAAGGATTCCAAGTTCAATATCAGCCTGGGCAACTTAGCAAGACCCTGTCTCAAAATAAAAAATAAAGTCTAGGGATATAATTCAGTTCTACAATGCTGAATGCCTCTAGGTTCTAAAGTACTGTAGCAAAAAAAAGAAAGGTTGTTTCCAGCAATTAATATCAGAGGTCTAATTTAACTCCTTGGTGATGGATGAACATATGACTGAAACAATGTAAACCATGTTTAAATTTTTTTTAAAAAAACACAGTTATGGGCCGGGGATTTAGCTCAGTGGTGCCACCACCTGTCTCGCAAGCACAAGGTCCTGAGTTCAATCCACAGTACTCCCCCCACCAAAGTTATGGTGGTAAAATTACTGATCATGATTGATTTTTTTTTTTTTTTGAGACAGGATCTCCCTATGCAGCCCAAGCTGGCCTTGAAATTACTCTGTAGCCCAGGCTATCCTCCAACTGATGGAAATCCTTGTGCCTCAGCCTCCCAAGTGCTGCAATTACAGTCTTGCACCACCACCATGCCCAGCTTTGATCATGACTGACCTTAACCCTTGACATGTATAGTTTATATACATATTTTATGTTACCTTTTAAATGTCTTGGGTGTTGAGAAACACCTATACATATTGAATAAATGAAAGTAATTATAAAGAAAATTTATTGAGTACTAGTATTACATTTAGAAATCAAAATTATTATTCTCTGAAGTGTTCAAAATAATCAGCATAAACACAAAATAGGTGGAAGTCTGGGATACATGAGGATCTCTGTTTTATTTCTGAAAGTGTTTTGTCAGACTGAAAGCATCTCAAAACGTTTAAAGAATGGTTGGGAATTTTTAAAGCAAAAGAAAGTAACAAATGCATGCAAGCACTACTAAATTATAAAAGCAGAGCCAGGGATTTAGCTAAGTGGTGCTACCACCTGCCTTGCAAGTGCAAGATCCTGAGTTCAATCCCCAGTATGAA